CGTAGCGCCAATGGGGAGGTCGCAGCTGTGCGCACCTGAATCAAGATGATATCGGCACCAGCTTCGGCAAGGGCAAAAGCCATTGCCTGCCCAATGCCCCTGGTTCCTCCTGTCACGATGGCGGTCTTACCGCTGAGGGAAAATAGCGACGCAACTGCGGCCGACATTGTGATTGTTTGACGCTTAGATGGTTACTAAGAATAGTAATTTGCTGTCAATCGTTCTTCTCGTTTCTCAAAGTATTATCGGTAGAGGTGTATCTTGCTGCGCAGCTCAGCGAGGGGGGATAATTTTCCTGATTCTCTTGCCACCAAATCAATGATCGATGGCGACCAGTCATCCTTGCTGTCCTGCTAATAATAAATAGCTGTCCCTCTTCCTCCGCGCGCGGGGCAGCAGCGACTAATTCCCTTTTGGGGTAATTACATTGCCGACACAGCGCTTCAAACGCCGACGCCCCGCATTCGGCTATTGAACTTTGTTCGGGGATGCTCCGATTTGCGTCTTGTATGGTAACTCGTACAAATGACATCTCATGGAGTTGGGGTGCTTTGGAAATGCTGGATCTCCTACCAAAAGGCACGGAATAATCCGGAAAATCATCTATGCTAATGCATTATCCCAGGAAAGTGTACAGAGTATGTCGTCATGCATTGAATATTTCTGGAATTGGTGTGTGGGAGCTGCGTGGCCATTTGAGACGATTATTTGTACAAGCATTCATTGCCTTGCATCTCACCATCCAATAGGCGGATCGGTGAAGCAATTCAATCTATCTCACTGATAGCTCTCAAGGACCTGATAAGCTAGATGGCTGAGCTATTCCTAGGGGCTAGTGATCTGGGGTTTAGTGATTCTCACAGATGCATTAGACAGACATTAGATGAATTCCTCATATGGTCGGCTGCAGGCTTTCTATATATCCATGGTGCTTGCCACCAGAGGCACCACATCAGCTTTTCAACGAGGATCTCTGCTACTACGACCTCAGCATCATGCAGTCAGTACTTGTGATTGAATTTAAGAGCAGTGCACGAACTAGCTCTAAAGATTGAATTAAGCTTAAACACCTCGTCGAGATCAACAGCTGCCCGGTCTTGCATAGTAAGAGCCTTGGATTGCCGACTCGTTGAATACCCGTATGTATGGGATGAGTAATACCAAATTATTCCTTGGCCGTGGGTCAGAAAAACGCAATGCTCATAAGTCTGCAGCGTTTACAAATCCTTCCCCCCCGCAGCCTGGCCCTTCTCGACTGCTGAGTCGATGATTTGGGGTTACGAGGCGGATTATCACTTAGTGCGCAATTTGTACAGACTTGCTGGTGCCTTAAAAGCCAACTGTGTGGGGAAGCCACGAGCGCCCGTCCGGAGCTCAAGTTACCCCAACAATCATATAGGAACTGTTCGGAGTCGAACAACACCCCGAGATTTCTCTGACACTGCTCTACAGAGGATTCAACCTTGTCTCCTAGCATCAAGAGGAAAGCATTCCCGTCTATTCGTCTCTTACACTTTCCATCTTTGCAAGCAAAAATCGCAGGAGGGAATTACTGACGCGTTTCGTTCCCAAGCCGACCTGTCAGCACTGCTGGGATGAGATGTCGCATTGGAATTCTATCACTTGACGCTGTAAGCTGCAGAGATTAATGTGCTGTATGCAGCGATGGAGCAAGACGATCAATCTCCGCCAGTCGAAGGGACCCCGACGTCAAGAGCCAAGGCCCGTTCAGATCATTTAATGAAACGCGTGTCAAGAGCATGTCTACATTGTAGACAGCGTAAGTCGAAATGCGATCTGTAAGTCATGACTGTGACAGACGTTCATTCCAATATTTTTTTTGTTCTTCTCATGTTATTTCGGTTCACTGTTTCCGGCCTGTCGGTGATCTTGGGAGGCTAATTACATTGTAACACAGGGATAGCAGTGGCAGTCCGGGAGTCCCACCATGTCAGCGGTGTATCAGGGATAACCGTGAATGTGTTCTAGGCAGTTCCAATCGAGGGGGACGGCGGATTCGCAAGAATAAAATTAAAAACTTCACGCCAGACAGCAATTCTTCTGTGCGAAGGGATTCCGTTATTGAGGCACCGAGCCCTTCCAATTCAGAGACTCGTCAAACGACGTCTTGTTCTTACCCTGGGCCCGTTGTCTTCCTCCCCCCTGATCCGCCGACCGCAACTTCAATTTCCGTTGATGATGATGAAGACGAAGCTTCTATCGGCGATGTTCCCCGCAACCCTTCTGATGCCTGGCAGTGTCTGACGGGCATTGCAAAGAGAGGCACAGAAGACCCGAGCACCGAAACGGGCGTCGAACCTCTGCGTACAGGACCCAGTGCATTCTCATCATACACGGCACTTCAAGACAGTTCTGTTACTGGGTTTCAGTCAAATAGCGGCATCAAGGCGTACAGGCTAGTACAATCACGCTCACTAGATCCGGGAACGGTATGGCAGTTAGTGGTTCGCTACGCTGAAAACTTCCATCCGTACCTTCCTTTGGTGCCACGAAAGTACTTTGATCGCAGTGCGCTAGATGCATTTGCTAATAACGAGAAGCATCTGCTTACTGCCGTCCTCACAATTGCTTCGAAGGATCTAGCCGAACGGCCGGAGATCCACGAGTACTGTTCTAAGTACATGCATGAGCTGATATCTGGAATTGCTGCTGGAGCCGATTGCGATGTTGAAGCTGTGGAGGCTCTTCTTATTTTGGCGGAATGGGAACCCCAAGGCCTCCGACCGCGCATTGAACGTGTAGGCCGTGGGGAGGAAGATCGAGCTGCCTGGATGCATGTAGGGCTCGCCTTGCGATCTGGTTGGTTTCTAGGCCTAGACAGGACGTCATTCAGAGGCGATTCTTCTGGAGACGCGGAGACAGAAGCTCGTAGGCGGCTAGCATGGACAAGCTGCTACGTATCGGACCGATTGATATCTGTTCGTATTGGACGTGCTTTCTGGTCTCGCGGGCCGGGTCCGATGACTGGCCTTGTCAGCCAAGACTTTCCATCGTTGCAACCCGCTAGAGACGGTGATGAGGATTATGCGAAGATATTTCAGGCTACCCTGGATCTGACGCAACTTTACGGAAATGTTCACGATGTGCTCTATTCTGGCATGCGTACGAGCAATCAAATGATGCTCATGGGCGACTATGTCAAGTACGTGGACGATTTTCGCCTTGCAATCTTGCGATGGAAGTCTATCTGGGGTTCTCTGTCTTGTAAGTTTCAGCTCCGACGAAGCTTGGCCTGATTGACTGACATTTCGTAGGTTCACCGCCAATGAAAGCCACGTTACAGCTGTCCTACGAATACCTGAGGCTATACACAAACGCTTTTGCCTTCCAGGCGGCAATATCCCAGTCACTTGTGTCCAAGATCAGGAACGATGACAAGGCTCAAAGGGATCATCTGCGAGCAACGTTTAACAATGTAGCCTCGATGCAGGATGCTCGGTTTATCTATGAATCGGTCGATGCCGCAAAAACATACCTGACCATCCTTGTTGATGTGGTTCACCCAGAAAAGCATCTTCATTTTATGCCGTTGAGGTATTATTTATACGGGATCTACGCAGCCGTATTTCTGTACAAGGTAATATCCTTTTATATACGAATGTACATATGAGTTACTAACAGTGCATTCAAGGCACGCTCATTCGGAGTAATGTCTCACTTGGAGGAGCTGAAAGTGCGGGATCTCGTGACGCGGACCACTGAAGTACTGAAGAGAGCAAGCGCTGGATCTGATGATATAGGATCGCGTTATTCTCGACTCCTTGAACTCCTTTGGAAACAGAAGTCGATGGCACCAACTTCACCAGCCGGAACACATCAGAGCGGTGATGTCCTGATGCAGAGTAACAGCGCATTATCGCACCATTTGTCCGATCAAAGTAGCTACGTGCACTTCAGCCCTGCGAATGACTTTTCATGGCTGGATCTTGAAGCCGTTGGGGATTATGTCTCTGGAGATCAAATATCGGGAGCCAACACACTTGCATTGGATACCTTCCAGAACCCGGACATCTTCCAAGCGGGACAAGAGCGATCCCAGGCATGGCAGGTTCCATGGTCGGGCGACATGAGCAGTAGCCTTCTCTTCTGATTTCTATGTCTCGCAAGACGGAGCGCAATCAAAACCACTCTTACCCCCGCCTATTGAAGAAATTTATGATTTTCTGGCGGCTCTGGTTGAAGACCCCACGGCGGTGCGGGGCTGTGGGGGGCGCCGGGATGGTACCGACGTGAGGTTAGACACTATACACATCGCTCGCATCGAAGCACGGCTAAAAAAGGCGGCCTGCTTGTTTGGTATGTCGGTGGCCCGACTGCGCTTCTGTCGATCTAGCTAATGGTTTCAGGAACTGCTTACAGGCCGATTAAGTTAGCTACGTGACTGAGCGCTGCTCATAGAGATGCCATTGCTGGGGTAGCAAAGCCTTTGTTCGATGCATATGGCCACCTGAGTTGCATGTGCATGCTACATTGTTTGTAGCCCGAAACTGCTACTACGACGGAGGAAATAAACATCAATTGTTGCATATACCTCGATCATGGCTGCGACAAGTGTCGGCCGGGTGGGCAGCATATGGAGTCACTCCTAGTTACTTCACCAATCACGCGCTGCAAGGAGAATGGTGCCTTACGCTTAGGGGTCTTAGACGAAGGCCCCAACAATCATGGTAGGCTTTCTCGCTGACGGATCTTGGGAGACCGAGTTGTTGTCAATCCCTGAGGATTGTATCCACGATTTCTGAGCGACGGCCAGCTTTTGGAGCCAGCTGCTAAGAGGAATATTAGATGGTGCAGGGGAAGGCTAGCAAATGCAGTTGCATGCAGCGCCGCTATTTAGTGCGCATCTAAACTCTATTTGTCTACTATATAACAGCCCAGTTCCTCAAGCTTACCACAGTTTGATGCATATATTGCCTATGTCGAAACCCCTGGTGCGTGCTAAAAGAGCGAGCGCTTGGAAAACTTCTTGGTCTCAAATCATGCCAAATCTCGGTGAAGCCGATTATGGTGCTGCTGCAAAGTCTTTCAGTCATACTGGTCATATCAGCATTCAGCTGTCAAACGTGGGGAAGGGCGGGCATTCTCCGCATCGGGATTTGAGGCCGAGCGTCGATAGCCGACAGTGAACTGGAAGGATACGCTGGTCTCTCCACGGCTGGAAAGGAATACGAAACAGCCTTTCGTTGTGATCGACACTGGCTTGTGGCCCCATGATATATACGTTGAATTTTATAGCCAACGGCGAAGACGGATGTCGTCTGCATGTTTGCACTGATATCAGTTTTGATGTAGTTATCAGTTGCCGAAGTAATTGACCAGTTGGTGAAAGGGCATAGCTGCAGGGTGCATGAGCTGACTGTAGCCCAAATAGGTTTAGCGTCTGTATGAACTAGTACATGATTCGATCATGCGACAACACGATGAAAAAAACGACCAGCACCTCACTCAGTTGAGAAAAGGAATATGACAGCATTACATTTAACGAATATGACATTTAGTTACTGAGAATAAGCAATGTAGATACTTATAACGCCATCGACCGACGAAATGGACATTGAAGCAGACAATGAAGTTCCTACGGATTGAAAGCTAAAGGGCAATACTGCCGGGCGGTGAGGCGGGCACCTGCCCCAAGCCGCCTAGTGTTAGGGCTCCGATACCCTAGGCGGGCGCCAAGAGCGAAAAAGCGCACCACAACGAGCGAGCCTCGCGATCTCAAGTTCCAGCGGCCGACGACAGGAAAACGACAAAACTTCTCACCCGACATCGAGGACCACCCGCTCGGCAACCACATCAAGATGGTGAGTGCTATATTCGCGTTTGCTGCTATCGGTGGAAAACGGACATGTCAAAAAAGCAAGGGAAAAAGATATCGTGAAAAGAAAGAACCGCTGCCCAACCTCTCGTTGTACCGGAATCCCTATCTATCATCTTCGATCCTGCGTTTTGGCCGATGAAGGAAAACTTCATACCGAACAATTTTCGACTCTCTCCCCCCTGCTATGATGAACTTCCGTCCACCGATATGCATAATTTATATGGAATTATGTGCTTGGAAAAGAGGGGGGGAACCAAGAAAAAGAATGATATATGAGGGATTGAATGAATGGTCTTGCTGATTGTTGGATTTTTCTTGTCGCCATCAGGTCCGTTACGCTGCTCAGGACATTCCGGCCGCTAAGAGCGCCCGCGCTCGGGGCTCTTACCTCCGTGTCAGCTTCAAGAACACCCGTGAGACCGCTCAGGCTATCAACGGCATGAAGCTGCAGCGCGCCCTTACCTTCCTCACCAACGTCACCGAGAAGGCCGAGGCCGTCCCCATGCGTCGGTACGCTGGCAGCACCGGTCGCTGCGCTCAGGGTGAGTTATGTGTTTTTCTGCAGAGTTTTCGGGAAGAGATGGGAATGGAAATTACGGATCGACAAATGAACCGACATGGGCAGAATTTTAAGGGATGGAAGGATTGGAAGATATATTCTTGGAGGATCTGGCAAAAACCAAGCGTTTTGGTAAACGAAGACGCTGACCGTCTTCTTTCTCTCTAGGCAAGCAGTGGGGTGTCAGCAAGGCTCGCTGGCCCGTCAAGTCCGCCGAGTTCCTTCTCGACCTCCTCAAGAACGCTGAGGCCAACGCCGACACCAAGGGTCTCGACACCGGCAACCTTGTTGTCAAGCACATCCAGGTCAACCAGGCTCCCAAGGGTCGCCGCCGTACCTACCGTGCTCACGGTCGTGTATGTTGAAACCGGAATCCGAGATACATCTCTTATGTCACGCATCCCCGCAAAACTGACATGTCGATTAGATCAACCCCTACATGACCAACCCCTGCCACATCGAGCTCATCCTCACCGAGGCTGAGGAGACCGTCGCCAAGGCCGCCGAGAACAAGGAGGTCCGCCTCAGCTCCCGCCAGCGTGGTGCTCAGCTCCGCCGTGCTCTCATTGAGGCATAAGCGGTGTGTGGGTGTCGGGGAAAGTGTGAAGTGGTCAGAAACTGAATGGGAATGCCGGAGTTTGCTGTTGTACGGATCCAATACCTGGTCACGGAAGGAATACAAAAGAAATTATTACTTTTTTGACAAATGGAAAAAATTCGAAACCACCCGGCGAAAAAAAGTGATGGTGATGATGATAGTTTGTCTTCTGCTTTATGCAGAGACAAACATCTTTCTTTAGACATTGATCTCGTTTCACCCCCCGGAGAAATCGGTTCGACTGGATAGTTTTTTCCTTTGCAGTCGCTGGCCATGAGGTAAGGCGGCTGAAAGGAGTCCAGGGAAAATTATTCCTTCATCATAGTGGATACTACTACATGGATGGCGTACATCGGTACGGCAGGTTTCGGACATTCTCCTACTTCAGGACACTTTTTGCGAGCGTTTAATTCATGATGGGATACGGAATTCATTTTTCTTTCATGAAGTTGTAAAAGAAGAAGACGAAGGAAGGATGATGGAAGTTCATCATCAGCCCTGCCAGTCGGACAGGATTGATCTACAAGCGTAGGATGATAAGGATTCCGTAGTACTAGTAGAAATTGGCAACTTTGCCAGTCCGTCATAGGTCTGTTCTGGTCTCCGACAAGAGTTCTTGGGGGCCCTACGCTGTGCATTTGTAACAGTCAACTGCGCCACAGCTGTTAGACCCTCTGATCTGCAGGCTGCAGCGTGTGGACAAGCATCCCCCGACTCCAGACCTCCGTCTCCCATTTCCCCCCCGTCAGCAGGTTGCAGATGGGCAGAGTCAGAGGGGAGGGAAATCTGGCTCAGCCAAGCGTGGCTGTGTGTGTGACCATCAACCCGTCACAGGCTCCAATCGGCCCTTGCGAACAGACCATCAGTCAAAGCTTTTCCCGTGTCGATGGGATTCTTCGTCCAATGCGGCCTTGTCTCCCGACGAGGCATTCGCATCCCCATGACGACTGGAAAACTATGCTTCACAGACTATGGGGGGAGACAACCTGCATACGTAGGTGTATGCGGTTGGTTGCGCTGACAGTGCGGGATGGTGTACGCATTGCAGAGTCTTGGTAGTCAAGCAGGCATCAAGATTCATAGGCAGACGTGGATCATGTTCTCTTGACTTGACTTCTCTACGTCAGTTCTGGATCGTCCCAAGAAACGCAAACAAGAGCGCTTGCGTGTCGCCGACAAAGCGTATTGCCACCGGATCGACTGCTTCAGAACATCAAGCAAAACAGAAGAGGTTTCGGGAGTGATGAATGGATGGATGGATGGATGGATAAATTGACTCTAATCTTGACTAAAATCTAAGTTTGGTTTAAAGGACCCTCCGCTGCTTTTTGCTCCCCGCGGCACTTAAACCGGCCCTGCGAGGCTGCGACGTCTTTTTTAGTCTCGTTTGCTTGACGGCCCCCTTTCTTACTACTTAAATTTTTCTCGCCAACCCCATTCCTATTGACTATTTTCTACCCAGCTGTGGTAGCTTGCGACAAGTCATCATGAAGCGCCTCTTCAATTCCTTCAGCAGGCGATCCAGTGAGTTTCACTCTCTCACCCGTTGCTGATCGGCATGCGACGGTTGACAATTGCTCACCTCGGAACAGGTCCCGCGCGCGACTCCCCTTCGTACCCCGAGGACTCTCCGGAAGGTATCATACTTAGAGAAGTGGTTCGTATTGATTCTAAGCCATTATTTGAGCTCGTCCAACTAACCACATCTACGGTTTATAGACCGCGTTCTGCGAATCGGGCCCCAACAGCGCCGTATGTCCCACCCTGCGGAACCCCCTCCCCCTTCCATAATCGCCTCATTCCCATTCCCCGCCTAGTTGATAGCGACCGTACTTACAATCACATATCCAGAATGGAGACGAGTTCGTTCACCTTCCTGCCATCGTCGAGAGCGCCGAGTCCAGCCCCAACGCCGCCCGCGAAGCCGCCCTTCGCATCTCCAAGCTGTTGTCCAATCCCGCCAAAGCCCGGAGCAATGTGCAGTACAATGCGATCATGCTCATGCGCATCCTCATCGATAACCCAGGACATACGTTCTCGCGGAACATCGACGCCAAGTTCGTGGCGACTGTGAAGGACCTCTTCCGCAACGGGCGGGATATGAACGTACACAGCTTTTTGCGGGACACGTTGGATTCTTTGGAAATGCAGCGGGCATGGGACGAAGATCTCGCGCTGCTCCTGGGGATGTGGAGCAAGGAGAAGGAAAAGTATGCTCCCAAGAATACGGGTAATGTATGTGTCCAGACATCCCCCATTACTCGTTCAAAGCATCGCCAAGCTAATCTTATGATTCCCCTACAGCCCGGCTTGACACAACCCCTGGTCCAGCCATACCGACAAACCCCGAACTACTTCAACAACGCCCCCAACCAGAACCAACATGGCGGGTTACCACAGCCCGAAGAGCTCTCCGCACGCATCTCCGAGGCCAAGACATCCGCGAAGCTACTCATCCAATTCGTCCAATCCACGCCTCCGGCCGAGATGCTCGAGAACGAGCTCATCAAAGAATTCTCCGACCGGTGTCGCACCGCCTCCCGTTTCATCCAGAACTACATCCATGCCACAAATCCCGCCCCAGACGAGGATACCCTCGTGACGTTGATCGAAGCCAACGACGAACTATCCGTCGCTCTGTCCAAGCACCAGCACGCCTTGCTCCAGGCGCGTCGCGCCCAGGGACAATCCGGCAGCCAGTCACCTGCATCATCCAGTCAGGCCTCGTCCTCTGGCGCCGTGCAACCACCAGCCCCGGCAGCAGCAGCAGGAGGAGCTTCTGCGCCGCCGGTGCCGCCTCGGAACCAAACCCAGAGCCCGCTATCCTCGGGCTCTTCCTCGACCGCTCCGGTCCTTCCGCGCACGTATAGCAACGGCGCAGGCCGGTTTGAGTACCGATCGGAGGATTTCCAGGTGCAGAACCCGTTTGCTGATACTAGCGCCCCTGCTGCTGCTACTGGTACTGTCCCTGTGGCTCCTGCGGTGTATGGTGATCAGCAACAGGCTCGCGCGGAGGGGTCATCTCCCGATTGGTGGGCGGAGGGACAGCAGCAGCAGCAGCAGCAGCGACCGGTACAGCAACATTATTAAGAAGATTGTATGGATTGTAAGGTGGTGATTTGATGATGATTATTATTATTGTTTGACTTTTTGATGTATCGATACCTTTTGTGATACCTCTACCGCGGAGTGAATTTGATTTGCCAGATGTGCTTGTTTGGTACATTAGTACTTGCCTATTGTCGTGATCTTGTTATCATAAACAAAGTATGGTCAGTACACAGTTGATTTAGTAAGATATTGCAGTGTGATAAAGCTTATTAGTGGGGGTATATCATCTCGTAGTGCTTACTGCTATAGTGTTGACAATGTGTGGGTATTCGGGAGTAGTAGGTAGCTATCTGCCTCGTGGGGTTTGACGAGTACGTAGTTTTCAACTTTTCGCTAGATTTTCTGATCTAGGTGGATAGATTTTCTATTGATAATAAATTCTAAAAAGCTATAGATGTAAGTACAATTACTAGTAACCTGTTTTTTCTATGTTACTACTATACCACTAATACTATCTACTACCGATCAGATGTTTCCATATGCGGTAGTAAACAAAACATACCATCGCCATTATCCATTTACAAGACAACCCTACTACTATTCAACTAACAGCATTGAAAACCTCAGATAAATATACAATATCCTTACAGTCTAGTCCTCCCTTGAGTTATCAAAAACGGACTTTATCGGGTGTTTCTTACTATACTACTACTACTGCTCTGTCCGGTTATAGAATAATCAGCAGCCAAGCAAGCATCCTTCAATCTTGAAGAGTCTTAACGCTTGAAATCTAAATCTTTACTACGCGTTTACATGACACAAACTCAATATACAGGCACATCTATTCCACACCACCAACTCTATCTAACACAGCAACTGATACTAGTATATACACACCGCACCATCTTTAGTTAGCGTACTTAAGGAGAGCCTTAAGCAGGCTAGCAACCCAAGTGAGCTGCTCCTCAGCGGTACCATCAGTAGGGATGGAAACACCAGAAGAAGAAGCAGCAGCAGCAGCGCTAGAGGCAGCAACAGGGGCGACGGTAGCGCTCTGCTTCACGCTAGTAGCGAGGGTCGTAGGGACGCTGGAGGAAGCGGGAGCGACGTTGTTGGCGGTGCCAGGGGTAGTGACAGCGGCGGCGGCAGCAGTGGTGGTAGTTTGCTGGCTGGCAGCGGCGGAAGAAGAAGAAGACGAAGACGAAGAAGAGGAAGAAGAAGAGCCAGAGCCACCAACAGTGAAGTCAATGCAAGACTCATAAGTCTGGTCAATGGAAGCAGCGTTCCACCACCACTGAAGAACACAAGCACCACCCTCGGTACACTTGTCACCGAGGTCATCAGGGATGGTGACGCTGAAGCTAGTCTCGTTGGCAGTGACACCGGTAGAGGTGGAGGCGTAGACACTCCAGTAGATCAGGGGAGAGCCGATGACGGTGTTGGAGGCAGTGTCAACGACGGAGACGTTGGCGGTACCGGTGTGAGGAGCGCGAATGTCGACGGTGAAATCGACGGTCTCACCGGCCTTGTACGAGTAGACGTTGTCCTTGTTGTCGGCGTACTTGTAACCCTTGCAGAGCCAGATGTCACAGGCGTCGGCGTCGTAGTCGCTCTGGCCCGAGGCGATCTGAAGCTCGCCCTGCACGTTGCCGTAGTTGTCGGCCTCCTGGTTGTTGTACACTTGCTGGCCACAGGCCTTCTCCATGGCGCTACCGGGCATACGGGCCTGAGGGGAGGTGACGAAACCGTGACCCTGGGCAAGGGAGACGAGCCCGGCGAGGGCGAGGATGGAACCAGCCTGCTTCATTTTGGTGGGAAGGTTTTTGGTTTGGTTTTGTAGGAGAGAAAATAAAGATAGTGAAAGAGTCTGGTATACCGGTATACCAGATGGGATGTTTCTTCAAGGAATGGAGTTTTGTGGAAAGAATGTGACGGTCACAGACCGGGAAAAAGAGAGAGAAAGGATGAAGTGAAAGAACTTAGACAAGCCTGCGTGCTGAAGGAAAAGAAGAGAGGAAGAGATGAGGGCGACGAGAGGGCCGTTCTATATAGGCCGTGGAGGGGGGCGTTCTGGACCTGAACCAAGCCTCTCCATCATGATCGATCGTGAAACGGTTCTAGCATCGTCGAAGAGGGCCCTCCCAAAAGTCCCTGAAGATAATAATGACAGGGGAGACACTCCACCGGGAACTGGAGACTGACTGGACTGGCTCAAGCGCTGGCAGCAGCGCAGAGGTTTCATCTTGAGGGGCGTTGAAACGGTGGGTGGAGATGAATTCAACGCCGGCGGATTGACCGGGATGCTTGGCATCGCCAGGGTTTCAGCTTCATTAATGCCGCGCCTGATCACTGCCAACCATTTGCTCTCTCTCGGTGACCCTCCAGTTGTGCTTTTCCTTGTCTTGCATCTATAATGCTGCTTTCCTCCTTCCTTCCTTCATTTCCGAAAAGGGGCCCTCCCCCGTCATAACTGGATCTAGTCTACTCCCCCATTTTGGCTTTTAGACTCGGGCCAAGGTTCGGGTTCCATCCGGAACGGCGCCAATCAAAGCCATGGCACCAGTCGGGACTCAATTTACTCCCGACAAGCATCAGCCCTGGCGTTATGGCAAGTTAGCAACAGCAGGGTTGAGGATGCTAATATTCTTTTCTTGGCTCGGACGTTGTCCACCCACATGTCTTGCCCTAGTTCATACATCTCATACCATTCACTCCTCAGGTGCTTCCTCCACTTTTCCTAGCAGGGTAAGGAGTTGTGCATATCTCTGCTCCAACCAGGATGAGGATTTTTCCAAACCCTGTCCCCGTCTCCCCCTACCTGGCAGGATTGATTTATTGATCAAGTCAGCAGATTTCTTTCTATTCTTGCAAGCGCGAACAGTGGAAAGGTTTCTCATGATGCCACCCGTCTGTCAATAGTGCTGTCTTCAAGTTCCTGCTGGTTGCTGAGAGACAGGCCAAGCGATATGGCAGGTAGTGTTTCTGCTTCTGTGCCCTTTGTTGCAAAAACTAGCATCAAAATCCGACCCACAGATATAATGGAGGTCATCTGATCAGTCCAATCCGCTGGTGCCAAAGTCTTCAATCGACGATATTGAGAACTGCAAATTCCCAGACACTGTCCTCCAGGTCGACCTCACACTACACGGGATGACCATACTGGTCAGCCATCGTGATCAATTGATTTCTACCAGCTCTAAGCACTTTACTTTCAAAGGAAAGGGACTGGGGGGGATCTTCGTTCTTTACACACATACAAATCCAAAGAACTGCAGATACGTATCCAGCATCGTACTTGCAAAACCAATCTCTAAGGACATGAGACAGATCAATAGCTGCTAACACTCAGAGGCAATAGGCACAGCTACATTGACTTCTAGTCACGCACATGGCCCCAAACCCTTCCAGCTACACAGCCGAGTCTATATAACCCTACCTACCCTACGGTTAAAAAGAACCCCGAAAGCACCACGACCTCACCAAACACTACACACACATGACTATAATCATACTTGAATCAACAAAAGAGAGAGAGAAAGAGGGTAGCACTACCTTCCTTTCGCTCTACGACTACACCTCCCCCTCCCTACCCCAATGAACCATTCGCACCTTAGAACATCAATGCAATAGAGTAATACCAGCATGTCTCTGCGCCCTTACTCATACAACCGAAAACAAAAGGATCTTATATCTCTACCTCATCCACCATCTTTTTCCAATACTATATCAACAGACTAATAAACAACAACTAGCAAAAAAAATAAACCAATGAATGAACCATTCATAAACAACCAAAAAGTAATCCAAACAGACTGACCACACATCACAGAACAGTAAACAAACCAATACTCATTCATCTCCACCCCAACCATCATCCCAAGTAACCGACTTAATCCCAGACTGAGTGCAGGAAGAGATTCCTATTTACCAAACAATAAACAGTTCAAAAATCTTCTCAATAGACCTATTCATATTTTCTTATTCTACAATACCCCACTCACTACCCACATATTCATTCAAAGTTACTCGTTACTCCCTAGTGGTCTGACCAAGCTAATCAATGAAATAAACTACCTGTACAATGGCTATTGTGCTATACAACACACTACAATAGAATAATAAATGAATACAATGGAGAAAATACAATGTACAATGCAGAACAACTAAAAGAAAGAAACGGATCAGAAAGAAATGTAACAATCATTCATCCCTCTGCTGGGATCCACATTGTTTGTTTTGTATCCTTTGTCTCTCTCGTCGTGGATAAGTCGCTAAGTTGGTTGTGTGTGTGTGTGTGTGTGTGTGTTTGATTGTTAGTTGATGTCGTAGCTTGGGAATGTAGGTAGATAGGGAGGAATACTACTACGTAGTAGAGTGTGATGATATGTGAAAGATTGAGGAGAAATTTGTTGAAAACAGATAAGAATCACTTTCAAAAAAAGATGGGTGAGATATAGTCAGAGGAGGCTGGGGAGAGATGAAGCAGTCTATCTATGTGGAAGGATTATCTTTAACTATTGTCATTTATTTACTGAAGGGTTGGTCGGTGATGGAGGGACATAACGAGGCCCATAGGAGAATAGAGTCTGTTCATGTAAAGCGAAGGAGCTGTGATCAACTCCATTATAGTGGTGTGATAGAAACAATCTGATCATTGACTTTTATTTCAACTACTGTATAGCCACATGGGAAAATCTCTACCGCTACACACCATAAACAGTCTCACCACCACCACAATTACCAAGCCAGTATAGAACCAATAGATGTAACGAATGGGATAAGAATAGAAGGATAAAATGAATGGATGTAGGCAAAAATATAAATTGTGACAACAAAGTGGTATATCCGTATGTGTTCCCCAACAATCAATCAACCCTCCCAAATGCATCTAAGATCCCTTCCCTCCAAGGGGCATCGAGAAAACAAATAACTGGTTTATCACTGTATGTATGTATTGTCTCGGATGTAAAAGGCACAAATTAAATAGATGACGATTGCTCGAACAAGGCGATCGTCGAGCAGTATGTGCTCTCGTTACCCTCTTGCGGGACAAGACCATCGCCGCTGGACGACGTGATCATGTTGGTGCTGGCCTTGGTGCTCAGCCCGTAGATGTGCACGTCGGAGCAGTCCACCTCAACAATGTTCTCCTGGCAGGACTCCGTGGCCAGGCATGTCTGCGAGTAGTTGTCGAAGAAGCTGTAGAGACCGGCACCGTAGATGTAGGTCTCGGAGCTGTTGATGATACGGAGACCCCAGGCCTTGCGGCAGGA